CTCTCCTCCAACCACAGAACGAGGAGCGGCGCTGTTACGAACAGGCCACGCCTCCTCTAGAGTCTACAGCGCAGGTAAACCATGGATCTATGAGGTAAACAAAGTAGCATGCTAGCAGAATTGGCTAACAGGCTACTCTTCTTGCTAACACAGCATAACAGCCCAAACGACACAACAGCTGATAAAAGGCACGAGACGCTAGTAATCCGTCGAAACACCACAAAAACCTTACTGTCTGGTATAGAGGAACCCAATACTTTTAATTCTACTAAGAAGACAAGATGAATATTCCAAAACTATTAAAGGGCCCTTTAATGATGACTTGACATGAAAAACTTACATATCGCTGCTTTAAACTCTCAGACAAATCAAGTGAAACTGTCTTAATGACTGTCTCTTTAAATTATTAAAGGACTAATGAGTTTGTTGCCGGCGACGACAGTGAGAGCTCCAGGCAAAAGTACAACCGCTGTTTGTGTGGGTTTGGTCCTGATAACATCTGTTCAAAGAGGAAACAGTTACAGATATTTGGGAAACTTTGGAAAATGTCTGCGTTTTAGTCTCTGTATTTTAAACTGGGTCATAAAACGTTGCTAAATATGGTTTAAAAAAAATCCATAATTGGGATTTATTTCATATCTTTTGACAATATTATGGTTATTTTCTCTTGTCATTCATGCAATAATCAGATTAAATATTCCTGTATTTATCTCACAGTGGGGAAAATTCAGTGTCTATCATTTAAGATAATCGACAATATATAAAATAATAAATAAATAAATAAATAAAAAATCTGAAGCTATAATTCAGAGGTATTTACAGATTTGTATGTTGTACTTTAGCAGCGGAGAATATGAGCAGAACAAACAACAATATCAGCAGAAAAGTAAAAGTAAAGTGAATGGCAGAATATCAGATGGATATGTGATAATGTAGTAATAATATTAATAACAGGTAAAGTGACGAGTGTATTTTTTATCTTGTACAGACTCAGCAGTTCTCGTTATACAGTCTGACAGCAGCAGTGAGGAAGGACCTGCCTAACCTCTCCTTCACACAGCGAGGATGAATTATGAATGGATCACTTCAGACAGATTCATGTACGTCTTGTGTACATGAATCTGTGTAAGTGTGTAGACTCATTCCTTTGCTAATATTGTGTCATATTGAGATTTCAATCGTTCAAATCAGAACAATAGACAGAAGGACAGTCCGTCTTCTTTAATGTCCTGTGATTGGCTCTGGCTGCTAACCTCAGAGCTAGCTAACGTCGAAGTGAGGCCTCTTGCGTCATGGTTTTTGTAATTTTTTGCATTAGTTCTGTGGTTTCATTTTAGTTTAGTTTTTAGTTTTTGTGGTTTCACCTTCGTGTCTGTTTTTTCCCTTTTTCAAAACACAGCTTTTGGCTCAATGCGTCCAATGGTGAGGGGTGTGAATCTTCCAGAACCAGGTTTAGCCTATAGACTGTATACAGATGGACAATGCTAACCTGCTAGCTCAATGAAGCCCAATGGAGAAGTGCTCATGGATGAAGTTTTGCTCCAACTTTTTCTGGCTCCAATGGACTTACAATGAAAAGTAAACTCCTCTATCTCAGTGGCCAATCGTGTCGCACTCACAGTTTTTGGTTTAAAAAAATATGTGGTTTAGCGCTTTCTATGATCCTGGAGTTTATATTATAATATTTTGTGATCACTGCACAGTTTGCACTAGTTTCTCATAGCCAGAGGGGAGCAGAATTACTATTTTCTCAGTTTTCCTGCGGGAAGGCCACTCCAGAGACATATAACTGTCTTCTCCTGACCCCCTTTTCAAAACTTGTGACATACAAGACACATATACAAGAATATATTGGCCATTTGCAGTAAAACCACATTGGAAAAACTGTGCAAGACGACCCCAGTGTGCCCCAGACAGAGAAGACGGCGCACACCAGAGCTCTTGCCAAATTTTTCTTTTGATAACTGCAGGGCTGCTCTGTGCACCTTTTTAGTAAACTTTTAACAACTTTTTAGCGCGTTTTTATTGTTCAGTTTTTTAATATATCTGAGTGTTTTATCTTTTTAATTCAGTGGTTTCAGCAAATAGCACTTAGTCCCGACTGAAACCCACTAGTAGCACAGAGGCTAACACAAGCTAACGAGGACATGGAAAGTGACAATGAAATTGGCTCAAACATGCACAATATTAGTCGCCTCACCTTGGAGCTCCGTGAGAGCGACCGTGCCACCATTGCAGAACTACGAAAAGAAGTCCTTCGTCTCACCGCAGAGTTGAATGAGAAACAATCTCTAGTATCCAAACTTTTTGAAGTCGCTGGTGGGCAGCATTCACGGCTGATGTCACTGAGCGCTGCATATTGTGACACTGTCGTGTGGGAGAGATCCGTCAGCTCCGGACCCTCCTGTTCTACACCTAAGCGCCCGCTTACGAATAACGAGCCCGCGGATTCCGAGGAGCCATCCTGCGCCGTGGCCCATGTCCTGAGTCTGGCAAACCGCTATGCAGCCCTCTCCACCGACATCCCGGCCCCCTCAGCAGAATCCCTGGACACTGCAGCGTACTCTACTGCTCGAGGATCCAAGTCCACTACGAGGAAAACGCTCCTAAAGGAAGCAGTCCTCAGGCGAAAGAGCGGTCCACCAGCCATGTTGACCCCAGTGCAGCAGCCTCAGACTGGGGTAGCGAGCCATCATCACCACCGCTCACCTCCACCGGGTCAGCAGCAGCGTCCAGAGCCAGCCCCTCTCACCGCTCCAGCGTCCCCGAGCACACAGCGTGGGTCGCCTGTAGCTGAGAGTCAGCACCCCCGCTCCTCCTCTCCATGTGTTCAGCGGCGCTCAGGCTCGGGTCCTGCTTCGGGTGAACCCGCTGGTTCCGTCCACCGAGCTCCTTCTCCGAGGCCACTCTTCGCCCCGACCACTCTGATTATTGGAGATTCCATCGTGAGACACGTCCGCTTCTTTAACGCGGTCACTCGCTGTATTCCCGGAGCTACTGTACCAGACCTGCTCATACGTCTCCCTCCTCTGCTTCAGTCCCTGCCTGATACCGTTTCCAAGGTAGTCGTGCATGTGGGAATTAACGACATGAAACTTCAGCAGTCAGAAGTCACGAAGAAACATTTTATGGATCTGTTCCACCTCCTTCAATCCTCCGGACTATCTGTTTTTATTTCTGGTCCAATCCAGACTGTAAACAGAGGTGACTGCCTCTACAGTCGTGTTGTGTGGCGCTGCATGTGTGGCTTCAGGCTACATGCAGCTCTTTTAACTTTGTCTTTGTGAATAACTTTGCCCTTTTCTGGAAACGTTACGAAGCCTATCGTCCAGACGGATTACACCCAAACAGATACGGTAGCAGCCTGTTGATGGATTACATACGTTATGTTGTTCAGCGTTCCCCGAGGGGGGCGTGACTGTTTACATCTGAGCCCCCTCGGACCCCACCGCACTCCCCCGCCTCCTGCTCACCAGCACCGGGTGAGTACAACGGTGCAAACACTGCTCCCTGTCCGTCTGGCAGTGCATTACCAGTCCAAACACTGAACTGTGCTGACTCCCTTCTCCCTTCAGAGTCTGACGCTGACGCTGCGGTCTCTGGTGCAGACATGAGGCAGATTCAAACTTGTATTCGTGCATTTTTAACCTTCACAGAAAAACGTTCATCGCCCTTTATCACAATGAAGGCTTTTGACATTTCCATTTTTTCATTCTGCGGTTGTTCGAGGCCTGAGGCGGCTCCGTTTCTCAGCTTGTACCTGCTCTTTAAATCTGAAATACATCGGATCATGTGTTTTATCAGCGCTAACAGGCAAATTTGACATATAATAATTTCATACACGGCGAGAGACTGCTACAGAGATGTTTTCTAGGTATATTCAAATTAGTTCAGAATTTCTCCAACGGGCGATCAATAAAGTATCTATCTATCTATCTATCTAGTAGTAGCTGGACTTTTTTACAACCCTGCGGCCTTTATAATTCAACTCAATTCAACGTTATTACAGACTCTAGGTCCAATTTAAAACAGACAAACATCGCAATATTTATTCAATATTTAACTGTTTCTAAGTCTAAGTTGATGGATGCAAACTGTGTGGTCCTATCTGCAGGTGAAAGCCAGATCCTGACAGACCTCTGAAGCTAAGCAGGGCAGGGTCTGGTTAGTGCCGTGATGGGAGACGTCTGGGAACAACAGCCATAGTGGGAGGGCTGCGGCTGCAAAGTGTTGGCAAGATATTTCACCCAGATTAGAATGAGTCTGGTGTGTGTGTGAATGGTTGGTGGTGGTCAGAGGGGCTGACGGCACAGACTGTTTGCCCCACTTCTGTCAGTGTGCCCCAGGGCAGCTGTGGCTATAGTAGTAGTTTATAACCACTGTGTATGGAGTGAATAGTAATGACATGTGAGGTGTCTTTAAGTGTCCTGATTAGCGCCGTATTAAACCAATGCGTTATTATTATTATTACTTTTTTCAAAGAATATTACATTAGTTTGACTTGCACTCATAGAAATGGGAAGCATGCTTAGTTTCAAAAGAGATTATTTTTAGCAGAGTGCTTTGATCCTCACAAGTCAACATTGCGTTAAAACACCTCGTCACCAAATCATGTTGCATCCAATTAAGTAATTGAGTGAGTAAGATTTATTTATATGGCACATTTCACAGACGAAGGTCACCCAAAGGCAGCGCTTAACAACTTTGCTGTACCGGATATTTCCATTCCCTCCAGTCTTGACGATAACTGAGCACACTGGCCTATCAAAGCTTCTGTCCATTCATTCACTCTCTCATCACATTCATTCCTATTGTGAATGTTTTAAGTGGTATGGAAGACGGAGCACCCGGAGGAAACCGTGGGCAGACATGGGGATAACATGCAAGTTACATGATCAGGCCTGAAGTCCTTGATATTTGCATATGTGGATCTATTTTAGCGTGTATAGTAAAAAAACCTTGATGTTTTGCACATGTCTCGGTGATCCCCGCCCTCTCACCTGCCGCGCCTCCTGTATCTGCTTCCCCACCACCTCCTTGATGCTGGGCGTGTCTTGTCTCGGAGGGTTGAACAGGACGCTGATGCTGGTGTCCTTCTCCTCCAGCGGGACGTCGGGCCAGCCCAGGTCCAGGTCCGGCACCTCCTCGTCAGACTCCGTGGGGAAATACGTAGACACCGCATTGTCCTCCTCCTCCGGGACCGGGCCTTTGAACTCCGGAACCTCCTCCTCTACCGCCGGGAGCTCTGCGTTCTCCAAGACAAACGCTATTTCCTGTTCAGAGAGGAAGTGGCTGATTTGCTCGGCATGTAGGAACTCCTCGTAGGCCTCGGTCCCGCCGCAGAGGAGGGCGTAGATGGCGAGACGATAGGCCTCTTTGTAGTGAGGCTGGATGTAGAGTGCGGGGCTGTCATCTTTGAGCGACGACAGACCGGACAGACTGGAATCCATGTGGGACCACTGTCGGCTTTACCTGCAGAGACAGAGAGAGATACAGACAGACGGTTTGAGGTATGACCATAAACAGGTGGATTCAAGCTGATGGTGTCTAAGTTTTTCTCTAAAATAATCCGTAAAACGCAAAAATAAAAAAAAATGAGGTAATAATGGCTTGAATGGAGTGGTTTAAATATGATTTCATTCTGACTGTGTTAAAACAAGATAATCCAATGGGACAAAACCATGAAGTCTCATTTAAAAAACTGCTGCTTTATTTTCTCATTCCAGGAGAGAGAGTTCTTGTATCTTTTTAAAACAAGATCATTTTGTTTTGTCCCATTGGCAAATCCTGTTTTAAGGCAGTCCGAATGTGCTGAAATTAAGATTATGGCAAATTTGAGCAATTTCTGGCTTTGTTTTTCATCACTTTTTGCGGTGTGTTGTTCGTCCCAACAAAATGGCAAGGCAAGGCGTGCTTATTTGTGTAGCACAGTTAACACACAAGGCAACTCAAAGTGCCGAACATTCAAAAGAGTCAAGATACAATCCTCCAGTTGCATGCACAAAGATAAAGGTGCACATTATTGATCCCTGCAGGACAATTCAATCTTCTGCATTTGACCCATCCTGATGCCGCTAAGGCTTACGTCAGGAGCAGTGGTTGCCGTAGTAACAGCGCCCGGGAACCCATCTCCAAATGTTGATGCTCGGCTTGGTCAAGACTTCTGGAGCTGGAGGATTTAACCTAGTGAGCATGTTATTAGTGGTAGGGGAAACCGGAGTGCCCAGAGGAAACCTACGTAAGCACAGGGAGAACATGCAAACTCCACTCAGAAAGACCCTGTTCCGACCAGGATTCGAACCGCCTGTTTAGCCCGACAGCTAAACCTGGATCAGGAAGACTGACCCAGATTTTAGCTACATACATCTGAAACGCTGCCTCCCCGTGTTTAGTCCTGACTCTCGGCACCAGCAGGAGACCAGCCTCGGTGCTCCTCAGAGTCCCAGTTAAGGTTATTATTTTCTCTGAGCCACAAGAAGCCAAAGAAAGGGTTAGTGTCGGTGAAATGTTGTTAGCAAACCAGACCAGATCATGCCGTCTTCACATTTAAAGTGATGGATGCAAGAATTAGATGAATTTAATAATACTAACAATGCATTAGTTTTCTATATATGGGCTTGTTCACACTAAAGGGCACAAAAGTGTGACAAAAGGCCAAAAATTAGATTTTAATAATCAGAAGATATTTAATGTTTTTCATGTTTCCAACACCTCCTCTGTCCATTAGAAGTTTCTAGAACATAACTGTTTTCTACATTAGACAAGTTTCCTATAGCGGCCCTGTTTATTTTATGTAACGGACGTGATGATTTGACGGAATGAGCTTTGTGGAAGTTTGATAGGTATTTTCAGATGTCCACATTTGATTCAGAGATTCTATTTTTTTACACAAAGTAGATGCAAAGTGATACTTTCATATTGTCAAGCAATTAAATGTGAAAACAGACCAGATTTTTTTTTTCTCAAGTTTAATTTTTAGAGAAAAGAGGACTGTCCTCATCACGTCCGTTATACATTTTTCAGGGGTCATTTAATTCATTAATTATTTTTTATTTTTTTACGATTCCTTTTTATATCAAGTGATTTCCTCCTGTTGTGTTAACCATGTACATCTTGTGGGATTTAATCTTCTGCTTTTTCAGACTGAGGACATTTTATTTTCTATGTAACTGGAGTCACAGTAGAATGGTCCAATCAGAGGCTCATTTGGTCGTTTAAAATGTTGCTAAACATTTTAATGTCAATCTTTCCTTTTGATTTTTTCCACACTATCTCTTCAATCTGTCTGTGTTTGAAATCTTTTTTCCAATCTATGAAAGTAATTTTAGTTTTTAAGTTATGACCTTTTAAAGTCCAGATACTTCAATTGTCACTTTACTGTGAACACACTCAGATAAGAAAAAGGGCCTCGCAGCAATCCAAGTCTGTTGATGTCAGACGTCTTGTGCCCTTCTCGAGTAATTTTCATAATTGGAACCACAAATGGATGGGGAAAACCAGTCTCTACTTCAGGGCTGTACTATTGAGGTTTTATTTGATTTGAGAATGAGACTAAATTGCATGTTGACTTTGTATAAATTAGGTTGCAGCGTGCTCGGCCTCCAGGGTTTGAAGAGAAAACGTCATTTGCTGCACTCTGGGGTCCGGGCTAAAGTTTTGTGTCTGTAAACAAAAGTAACTGGAATTGCTATAACCCGCTGCAACCCAGTTCTAAACGTTGTTGAACTATAATCTAATGGGAGAAAATGTGGGGAAAGTGTTGTTTGTGTCATTCATACAGAACCACAGCGAGCAAAGGATACGATATGAGGTAATAATTGCTGGAATCGTGTGGTTTTTATCTTAATTTGAGTTCATTCCGGGACAATAAGATTTAGTCTTATGTCAATCATATAATTTTGTTTGTCTCATTGGCAAAGCTTGTTTTAAAGCAGTCAGAATGTGCTCAACTGAAGATACATTTTGCCAAATTTAAACCATTTTTGACATATTTAAGTCCTGGATCTACAGCCCGTCCGTCCGTGTGGTTCTCCCTGAGGTTTCTCACTTTTCTCCCACTGGGTTTTAGAATCTTTCCTTGTCGAAGCAGGAGTATCTAACAAAAAGGACTGTGGTGATGATCCAGGACACTCAATATTCTACAACATTTATCTTTTTGTATTGTTTATGACACAAAATTAAACACATTTAGTTACAGTTGTTGACAATAAGTACAGTATTTTTTAAACCACCCCCTCTCGCTACCACTCTCCCCAATTCGTCTCCAGGTTGACAGTGTATCTCATAAAGTCATGTGTAGCTAAGTATAAAGGGAAAATAAGTAGATAAGAAGAGAGAGAGAGAAAAAATAATATATATATATATAAAAAAAGGGCACACACACATGTATTGGTACACATTCTCACAGATATACATCCATCCATGTTCATACATGCATATACAAACACCCTTGCACACATCTACACACACATTCACGCCACTTATACACACAAGTTCATGTACCTTCAGAATACACCAGAATACACATGTATGGACATTTATCAACATTCTTGGACATTGGACCAATAACTATGTGTTCTATATTCTCAGTCTTTCAACTGTCTGATTCTCTGATTCTTTGTGATTGAGGGCGACACAAGAATATTTATGTACTACACATTACTGAATGTTTGATATCAAATTTACTCAGACATACTCAATAGCACGGTGACACTTTTTTTTAATGCTTTTTAACTGTTTATTGTTTTTATGGATTTTATGTGATTTTATTGTAAAGCACTTTGGTCTCCTTGAGTGTTGTAAAGGGCTGAATAAATAAAATTGTTTGATCCATCCATCAATTTATTCATTCCTTACCAACTTACTTAGTTACCTTCACTATAACTTTTACATATTTTCAGGGGAATTTCTCAGAATATGATTGGTTTGAATGAGAAGCAGTGTCAGAATTCCGTGAGTCTCAGTCTTAACAGTTTTATCTCCTGTTCCTTCTCTCTAAGTCCCAGTCTATCTCCTGTTCCCTCTCTCTCCTCAGAATTCCGTAAGTCCCAGTCCGAACAGTTTTATCTCCTGTTCCTTCTCTCTCCTTTGTTTCTGCTGCAGTCAGGTGTGAGCTTCCTTTGCGGCTGCAGTGCGTTCATTTACATATGTGGAACAAACCAGTCTGTCCAGTGTGAATCAGCTCGGTCAATACAGAGGCAGGTTCTCACCGTCTGCTCACAGAAACCTGTATCTCCACCAGAAACACACACACGCGCCACACAACAACACACATCTCTATTCAACTCAATTCCATGTATTTTTTTGTCTTGCCGTCGTTCGGAGGACTTCACAAAACTGTCGATTCGCCGACATCAGATCAGAGAATGCCCAAACACATAGGAGCCATTGGTCCACTGCCCACTCTGGAGAGCAGCTTCAGTGACAGACTTATTCACCCTCGCTGTTTGAAGGAGAGCTTGCTTCTTCATTAGGCTAAAGTAATATTTATTTATATAGCGCATTTTTACAGACCAAGGTCACCCATTGCTCTTTACATTGTTCAGAGTTCATATATTTTTCCATTCTCTCCACACGGTGGCGACGGAAGCGAGACGCCAAACACGTTGGTATCAAAGCCCCCAATCAACACCATCCATTCACTCGCTAATTACATTCAGACCAACTGTGTTATTTTATCTCGTTCTGTGTTCTTTACCTCTGTCTGTGTGCTCCTCGTTCCTACTGTTCTGTAACCTGTGATGCAACACTGAAAATTCCCCACTGTGCGACCAATGCAGCCTCTCTTAATCTTAGTCTAAATCTCACGAACGTCTTTAAATGTCCTGAGCTTTTGTCGATAATTGTTAGCGGACTTGCTTCTCCGCAGATCTGACTCGGTCTTGTCTGTTCAAAGAGTATTTTTCCTTTGTTCTTCAGTCATTAGACGTTCGTTTCATGCTAATCCTTAATCCTCTCACAATTTAACTTTCCATTGCATCCACATTTACCCAACTTTAAAAACCTGTATTTCTAATCAGTGTTGTGAAGTTTTTTGTATTTTTTTATTTCAATTGTGGACATGACAATACATGAATACATTTCAAATAGTTGTCGTCTTTTCACACAAATGAAAAAGAGCAGAAAGAAGAAAAACAAATATTGTGTTGCCTGTCACTTTCCTAAAACATGTACTAAAATATCAAAAATTAAGATGGACTTTAGTACTATTTCAAACTGTTTTTATTTTCATTTTATGGACATTACTTTAAACCGTAATGTATGCAAATAGTAGTAAGTGTGCGTGTAAACAGTTGCCTTCTTTAGCCGGAGTCTGCCCGGAGACTGTTGCATAAATATGTCAAATGCTAACGCGCCAAAACACGTCGGTATTTTAAGTTAATTGTCGTGAGGTAATACAATCTTTTAATAATATCCTTTTGGATTCCTGGGTCGGATCCTCGCACAAAAG